TAGGTCTAGCGTTTATAGACATTTTAATGTGGAAATGTTACATATTAAGCAACTTCCCCACTGTCAGCATGTTTAGTGACTGATACTGTTTCACAGGTGATAAGCGAAAGCCTCTGCTCGTCTGTATACATCCGTACATTACACACTGTGTGTAAAAGGAGAGACTCTAGTTGCGCAAGACAACACCCGTGAGTAAAGTGATCTGTTCATGTCACCTGACCCTGCAGTGTCATCTTTTATAGTACTATGATGATATAGGAGCTCTGTGTGGATACAGGAGTAATAGCAGTGTCAGTTGGTATTGGCCGGGACAACCGCAGGATGAAAGCGTAATGAGGGCGAGAGTCCGGATAGAAGTATCTGACAATGAGTGAAGGATGCCCGGTGAGCGTGAACAATAACAGGAAGCCTGAAACGGATTATTTGCCTCTGGCTCTCAGTCCTCCGGGCTGACAGAGCAGCTGATTGACGCTGTGCATGTGAAACAAACATGCACAGTGTTCTCCGTGAAAGCTACTTGTCCTCTGATGAAGAGCACTTGGCCTGGCGCCAGCTTTTCATCGCCTGTCACCGATATCACCTGGGTAATGACCTCTTTCGGCCAGTTGCCATGGTGACGGTAATTTGTATGGAAATGATGTTGGTCCCGATGGAGGATGAGGAGGCTGCTGATGTTGGGGGAATAGGGGTCGGGTATAGATGAGGCGTGCCCACAGTGGAGAGAAGACACACGTGTTGTTACTCTTTGGGCATCATGTTTGAAATGTGTTGATGAGCGTGTCTGCCAGCAGGGGACACTGTGGCAGCACGGGGAGGACCAGCGCCATGACGACGCTCCATCACGTCCTGAACAGGGAAAAGTACAAGAGAGCTACTGGCAATGAGGCAGTTGTCTTCCTATCCTAGGCAATTCTGCTGCCCTCCATTTATATAAGTGAGTCACTTGCACATCAGAGAGGTATCTACTCCCCATCTGTTTTGCTCTCCCAGTCTGGGGGAAAATGTAATCTTACTCCATTATGTTTACATGTCAGCGGGGGTCAACGCAGCAACTGGGTGAAACGCTCGGGAGAAACGCAGCAGTAAGTGAGGCTGCAGTGCAGATATAAAGCCGTCTCTTCTCCTCTACAGTGCATCTTTTCAATTCCGCCGAGGTCGCCAGGAGGCCTCGCTCACTGTATATCTAATTCAGACTAAATGACATCGGTTGGGGGAAGTTTGCCCTTCAGTAGCACTGCCGGGGGTTTTTGGAGTTGGGAGGATACCCTCAAATTCCCAGAAGAAAATATGAGCTTTTCAAGGACACTGAACACACACAGGGACACAGGGCATGAGAAAGATGGCTTTTTCTTATTCCTCCAATGTCAGACAGTGTGTTTGTCAAGAATAGTTAAAGATCTACAACTGTTTAACAACTTAATCATGTCATGGGTAATGGGCCAAACTAATTAAATACAAAGAGGAAATGCATGCAGCAAACAGCGTGAAACAAACTAGTCCTTAAAACTTCTGATCACGTCTTCTGACTCTCCTCACGCGAACTTGGTGTGAAAAGTCTGCCGTTGCAGCTTCCTTCCAGCTTTCTGCCTCCCCCTCTCCACAACTCTGTGTCTTTTGTGTGCCTTTGCAGTCTTGACACGATGAACAAATGGGGTTAAGGTGCACATTGTAAGATTACCGGTTTCTAAAAAAAAAAAAAAAAAAAGGACGCAGACTTCCAGTTCTGCCATCAGAGAGGGGTTTCAAACACTATTAAGTCAATCCGAGCAGCACTTCATTATAAACAGATTGAGGGCAGGGATTCAGACTGATAACAGCCCTGCTCTGCTCTTTTGCGTGAGGCACCTGCAAGACAATGAAACACAACCCAAGAATTCCAGTTGGAGTAATAGATGAATGCATTAGCTTAAAATCTTATCAAAGGCTAAACCACAGGTGCTGCAACTAATTATACTTATCATCCATTAATCTGTTGATGTTTTTTTAGATTAAGCAATTAGTTGTTATAAAATATCCGACAATGGTGAAAAATGTTGATCACTGTTTCAATGTGACGGCCTCAAATGTCTTGTTCTGTCCACAACCCAAATATATTTAGTTTACTGCCATAGAGGACTAAAGACAATATTCACATTTGAGGAGCTGAAACCAAAGAATTTGAACAATTGCTCTTAAAACAATTAATTGATTATCAGAGGGCAAGAAAAGAAACGCAGACGTAAAAAAGGCTACGAACAAAAAGTTCAGATAAAGGAACAGGTCAAACTGGAGTCAACTGGCAGTGTGGCTGTGGTGAGAACTGAGGGACCGGTAATTATGTGGTTTGTTTTAGGGGTAATTTGTTATTTTCCTGAACTATACAGTATGTAGAACTATGTATGAATCAGACAGGAGGTAGTTGGATACGGTTAGCGATGACAATTTTCAGTGTGCTCCTCTCAGTCAGTGTGTGTTCATGTGTGTTGGGGGACTGGCTTTGGAGACCAGAAGTTTGGATATTTTCAACATCTAGACGTCTCTTGGTAGTTTCTCCATTGTTACCGACCTTAGCTTTAATTTAATAGTAATTAGTGCAGCTCAATACAATTTTAATACTCACTGATAGGACGCTGGCACTATTTTATCTGTCGTCTTGACGATCACAAGGTCAACAGTAGAAATACTTAGTTATTGAAGTATTCATTTTATAAATGTAAACATTTTTCAGAATTATATGTCATTTTGTTAATTTAATAATCACTTTGAGAGACCTGTACAGGTAAAATCATTCAAATAACACATGTTGTGCAGCAGAACTACATTTTTTCTAATCCTGTTTGACATCTCGAGACCCTTCAAATAAAGCTCATTAGACGGGACTTAACCCAGAGGGAACCACAGGCAACCAGTAGTAATTATCAAAAATTTTTTACTAATCATAATCATAATCATCAACAAGCCATAATTCCGCCCCTCAGATGTAAAATGTTCAATGGTCTTTTTTAATTATTCAACCACTCATTTCCTGTAATTGAAAGAACGGGTTCAAGTCTTTAAAGAAGGGAAGAACTGAAACCAATACAAGCCGCTAGTTTAGAATGAGAATGGATCCTGTGGAACAGGGTGACTTCCAAACAACACTTTCAATTCCAAGTTGAATTAGGAATTTCCAACAAATCCACGTTGCATACAGACAGGCTAAATCTAAGTGTAGCTTACTAAGCAGCACAGCCTGCGGGAGGACGTACAGTACGAGCTCAGAGGTACAGTGTGGAGTGACAGCTGCTTTGTCATTCACTTCCTACTGACAATCAATCAAGCATCAAACACCAAGAGCCGAGAGCAGAGTATCCCCGACTGTCAGTCAGCAGCAGTCGCACACACTGTGGGAAGAAATGAACCAAAAAAACTAAACAAAGCTTCTGTTTTATGTGTAAGTATCCAAAAAAGATGCAATTTAAAAAAGTTCTGGTCTGATTCAATCACCTGTAACCCAGCAGCAAAAGTAAAGCCTTTTAAAACATGCGTCATTGCACAGCTGTGCTGGTAATTTTCCATGTTGGTCTCGTGTTTGAATGATCGAGTCACTTTGACGTAAATGTCACAGCGGCAATCTGCTGAGGTCCAACCTTTGACATGTTTAAAGTGAATGCTGTCACACTGACAGAAAGACAGCAGTTTAACAAACAAAAATTCTAAGGTACTACACTACAATTTGGAGCCAATTGTTGTACTTTTTACTCCACTACATTTATTTGTAACTTTAGTGACTAGTTACCTTGGAGATTTACATTATTAATAGAAATACAAATAGAAATAAACTAATACATTATAATGTATTATTATACATTAAATTCCCAGCAGTATAAAGTAGGGATGTATTCACTAAAAAATGTAATATCGGGAATTATCGGTATCGGGTTTTTATAACCGATGTTTGTTCTGTAGGCTTCAGCATTTCCGAGCCTGCATGAACGCAGCATGGGACGTTTACC